GGGGGGGGGGGGGGGGGGTTGTATGGCGTTCTCAAAATGCCATACCCCCTCGGCCCTGTATATCAACAGGGTCGAGGGGGTACGACGTTCTCAAAACGCCGTACCCCCAGTTCCACCCCCACCCGGCAACCGATGGGGGTACGACGTTTCGAAAGCGCTGTACCCCCTCCGGTTCTCAGTGGGGGTGGGAGAGGGGGTGCGGCGTTCTCGAAACGCCGTACCCTCGCTCCCACCCCCACCGAGAACCGGAGGGGGTACGGCGTTTCCGAAATGCCGTACCCCCTCGACCCTGTTCATACGACATTTCGAGAACGTCGTACCCCCACTCCCACCCCCCACCGAGAACCGGAGGGGGTACGGCGTTCTCGAAACGCCGTACCCCCTCCGGTTCTCAGTGGGGGTGGGAGAGGGGGTGCGGCGTTCTCGAAACGCCATACCCCCGCTCCCGCCCCCACCCGGCAACTGAAGGGGGTACGGCGTTTTCAAAACGCCGTACCCGCTTGGTCCTGTACGTGAACAGGGTCGAAGGGGTACGGCGTTTCGAGAACGCCGTACCCCCTCCGGTTCTCGGTGGGGGGTGGAAGTGGGGGTACGACGTTCTCGAAATGTCGTACCTCGGCTCCTTTCGCCTCTTGGCAACCGAAGGGGGAGGTACGACATTTTGAAAACGTCGTACCCCCTCTGCCCTGTTTGTGAACAGGGTCAAGGGGGTACGGCGTTTCGGAAACGCCGTACCCCCTCCGGTTCTCGGTGGGGGTGGGAGCGGAGGTACGGTGTTCTCGAAACGCCGTGCCCCCTACAATTCTCGGAGAGGATAGGGAGGTGGGGTGCATGGCGTTCCCAGAACGCCGTAGCCCGGCCCTGTAGGTGGGCAGGGTCGGCGGGTGCGGCGCTTCGAAATGTCGTGCCCCCTCGGCCTTGCTTCGCTGAACCGGATGGGGTAGGGCATTTTCAGAACGCCCTATACCATGCAACGCTCAAATGCGTCGTCGACTCACGTGAGGCGATGGTGGAAGGTTTAAAATCTGCATATCATTCGTTCCTTCGTTTGGAATGTGTCTGCCATCAGGAGGAGCATCTGCTGTCCCAGAAAAGAGAGTCTACAACACGTGCACAATTTATAGAGAGAGGGAGTGGGCCCTTGATTGGGTGGGGGGGCTTCACGAGGCGGGATGTGGGGCCGCTGTGTTTCTAAGGAACGCCTAGGGTGACGACTGGTTCTGTGTTGGAGGGATTATTAAATCCGAGGATGAGAGGGTGGACGGGCACGGACGGAAGTTCAGGAGGTTTTTCCTCACAACCGTGTTCGACGAACAAGGAGTGGACCATGCGAAGGCCGACCGTAAAGTCAGCCTTGATTACAATCTGTTCAAGGGGTATGGCGGTAAGGTTATTACCATGAAAGCCTTCAATGTGTCCTCGAAAGAAGACGGGAGTGTGTTGACGATGCTTGGCCCCGTTAAATTCCTCACCCAAACGAACGGCTATAGGAGATCCGGAAACAGTCCCACGGTTGAGGCCGGGCATTGTATGTCCCCGACATTCGTGCCTTTTGACACGCCGGAGGAGGATCTTCCCGGTATAGCAATGACAGAGAGACAGAGGACGCCACATAGTTTTCCAACGCAGCAGACGTCAGGGACTGGGAGCCGGCGCCGCAACAAACAGAGCCAGCCGCATCGTCCACTAGGCGAGGATGAGCATGGTCCTCCTGTGGGTTCCTCGGGCCGGATGGAGTGTGCTGGACTGTCTCAACCCTCCAGCCAGCAAGACCAAGGCACCCCTGTCATCATATACAAAAGGAAGGCCCTGGGAACTCGTCCCTCTCCCAGTTGCCAGAAGGACGGAGGTGGTGCGTCCAAGAAGGCGGCTCTGCGGGAGATAAGCGAAGGATCGGACGAGGAAACGGAGGACGATTCTAGGGTATGTGTTGATCGACATCCACAAGGTAATCATGTCGTCGACGATGACGAATGTCGTGTCGAAGAGGACGACGTCGAAGAGGAGAACAGCGAGAGGGAGAGAGAGAGAGAGGATCGTGAGGAAACTATGCAGGACTGCGAGGGTGGGAAGTCTCAACAATACTATGAGGAGGACGACGGGGGCGATGGAGAAAACGATCATGCCTATCCTTTACGTGATGACGATGGACGCCAAGAGCGGTCGGCTGATGTGGGGGTCGACGACGCAACAAGAGATCGGTCGGAGGCCAGTGTCCAGAAAAGGAAGCGACAATCTTCAACAAGTCCAACGGCGGCGGCGGATAAGCGCATTGCGAAGAAACTCACTGTCGCTGCATCTCGACAGGCGCTCAAAGCTTCTCAAGAGGCGGTCGCTGAAAGCGCGAAGAAACGAAAAGGGTCCCTGTCAACAAGGGCGACAAAAGCGGAGAAACGTCCACCGAAAAAAAAGTAGATGGTGGATGGGGGTGACTCTGGAGAGGATGCCGAAGGTGTTCCTCCAAGAGATGTGTCGGAACAGACACAACCTTCCGTCGACACCCGTGATGAAGCCATCGACAGAACACGGTGCTTCTTCTTAGAGTTCGATGAAGATGGGTTTGCAAAGAAGAAAAGGGAACACATTGAAGTGGACGTCACGAAGATCTTGCGAATCCCTGAAGGTGACATCCTCTTCAACCATAGAACGTTGGACGAAACGTTGGTGCAGTCCATATGTGATACGATTCATCATGCGGCCAAGGAAACCAACGGGAAGTGGGATTTCATGACTTTTATCCTGGCTCCCATTGTGCCCAACACGGACGGGTCTCAAGGCAGACGGATCACACCGGAGCAATTCGACGTCGAACTGGCTCATACATACAACTGGTATGTTGTCGCTGGCCAGCACACGGCTGAGGCAATCAACAGACTCATTAAAGACAAGTCACCGGCCGAGAAAGTGTATGGCTTCAGGTCATACTCTCACGTACGTGTTGTCTACTTTGACGATGACAAAAAGAGAGGATATTCGTACGTCTCGACGTTCGACAACACGAGGGAGGAGCATTCGATCCCGGGATCATTTTCGTCGTCCGTGCGCCAAATCAGAACATTTTGGGATAAGAGGAATGGCCGGATCCGTCCGCCAGGGCCGTGTCCCCAAATGACGTCGAGGGGATAAACGGAAAAAGAAATGGGAAGAGTTCATGAACGCCGCCTGCAAAATGACACCTGATTCCGGTCTCATGAACTCGTCCCTGGAGAACGGCTACTGCAAGGACTGGACGAACAAGATGCGCGGATACATGAATCTTGCGCAATGCGGCGAAACAGTATGGCCACTAGTACAAAAATTCTTCGACATGTACGAGAAGGGGCTATTGCCGCGAGTCGACGGTGTGAGATACATCGACCTGCCGGGGAAAGTGGAAGGGAGGTTGCCTGGGCAATACTTCCTCAAGGACAACTCCGGCAAAAAAGTCTTGTTCCACTGCATCAAGGCCGAGAAGGGGTCACAAGGCGCAACGGTGTCTATACTTAACTTGACGCCGACAATCTTCAAGCTGTTCGGCGATATGACAGCGAGAGAGAAGCAAGTGGCGCTTCACCACATGATGCGTGGTGATGTCATCGTGACATCACGTTCGGTACCTTGTGGTAGATGCAACATGGCGGACCTGGTTAAATATACTCGGCGTGAAAGATATATGGTCCGTATGTTCAACTACATATTGTTCAAGGCCGAGGGGAGGTCAAAAGAAGAGTGGAGCGCTGACTTTTTCATCGGTTATACGACCATCTTGGAGAGGTACAGCAAAAACGGCCTGACGGACGAGAAATGGACGAAGGAACGCGACCGCATCCCTGACGACATGGCGAGGAAGGTGCCGAGGCGTTTCGACGGTCCTGATGAGATTAATGGTGAGAATGGTGCGGGACGGAAGGCAAACCAAGGCATGTTCAAGGAAACCCCGTTCCACCTCAAGTGTTTCATCTACGAGGCAATCGACTGCTTGGACGACCTGAGAGCGGAGATTAATCAGATATCCTCCTGTGCTTGTCACATATTTTGGGAAGTGGGGAAGAGGATTACCACGATCCTGCCATTTGAAATAGAACCGAAGGGAGTGCTCACCGACAACGAGGAGGTTGTTGGTACGGAGAGGGGGATGAAGATACGGGCAACCATTCTTGATATGTCAACATCACCGAAATGTGTTCTGTGGGACGATGACGCCTTTTCCAAACTGTACACTTTCCTCATAACATGTTGTGGTGAAAACTGGGCCTTGATCATTTTCGCACCTATGAAACACCAAAAACAGGTGATGCAGAGTGTGTACAACTGGGATGATGTTGAGGTGCTCACAGGGTCATGGTACAGACACTATATACCTTCGACAACCTTGAACAAGTACGGCAACATTGCAGTTCGGTACACTGACATGATGGCTATTGTCCTCCATGCCGAGAACAACAATTTGGACAATATAACGGTTGCGCCGAAATTGCGAGCCGAGTTGACAAATTTGAACGTTGAAGAGGGTGAATTTGTGAGGTGCTCAGGGGAGTGTATCGGCGTGGAGGGCGACACCGACGCGGTTTATTCTTGGATGGAACGAGAGTCAACACGCCTCCGAAAACTATGCAGCTCGTTCATCAGGGAGGACGATGGCGTGATGCTGTTGGGCAGGGCGCATGCGGGACTGATTTGGGAACTCGCTTGCGCCGGACACCACGTGTTTGCGTGTGACGACACGACAAAAAAACTCACATACCTTTCCAAATTTTTGGAGTTTTATGTGAAGGATCCGAGGAACAAGTGCAGATTCGAAAAGCTCCAAGTCGAGCACCGCAAGGACCAAGACATTTACTATAAGCTCGGCAGGAAGAGGGAGAAAATGTGGGCTTACTTGTTCGGTGACACTCCACGGACGGCGGTTGATAACGACTACGTCATCAGGAAAAGTGAAATCGAGATAAAAATGAACGAGTACCACGGATCGCACATGGGTGTTTTCCACATGTTTGTAGCGCGTTGTGAGCATCTGTATTTCAATATGAAGAAAAGAGCACTGTCATGCAGGGACTATGCGGACTTGGCACGTAAAGCGAGGAACTTCAACAACATCGATTGTGACGAAGACACGTCAGACTCCGACCTGGATGTTCCGTCGCACGCGACACGACGTTCGGCGTAGGGAGCACGTGCCGAGGAACCGCAAGGGAGCACCAACGCAGAAGCGGAGAAGGCGAGGTCGAGTTTGAGAGCGACACATGCTAGTAAGGGAGACGTGGAACATAGAATGAATGCAAGGGGAAAAAAGAATGGTGTACCAACGAACCCAGTGGGTGCGAGTGAGGGAATTGTTAACTCACGGGGCAACACAGGGGGAGGAGAGAATGGGTGTGAAATGACCCCGCCGACAGCTGGACCATCATCGACACATGCACCTCAGGCCGAGCAGCGAACGCTCACGTCGATGGACACAAATGAAGATGAAGACATGGATATGACAGCAGTCATACCGAAACTCGTGTCAGGAAAACCGTTACCTCAAGGCTTTGCTCAAGACCCTTCAGTGTCATACTTGCTGCAAGATAAGTACAAGGAGTCATCAGAGGAGGACTGGGGTCATCATATTCTCTCGCATGAGGGCGTGTTCGAACCGTGCGTGTTTGCGGGTAAGTGGCAAATGCACAAGAAAATGTCGGTGCAACCGAGGTGGCTATAGCGGCAAAGGCGAAAGCTTTGTTTGAGCAACTGCGTGCGAACAAACAACTAGAATTCAGCACAAAGTTCTACGACCTTGCATCAAGTGTGTCGTACGGCTCCATCGATTGAAAAATCAAACAAGCGTCAGCAGTGCAAGGAATCGATCGCATCACCTCTCTGAAGACTCAAGACGTCATCGCGTCTAACACCATCGTTGCAATGGCCAGAGGGGATGCAGGCTGCGAAACGGACACACGTGCGAACGCAGGTCACATACAGAATGAACAATTGCGAGCATGTATTCAACAAAGCACACAGAGAAGCGCAATGGGGGATTCCATTATGATACGCAAGGACGGCGACGACATGGAGTCGGGCACATTGACAGAGCCGCCAACGCGCGGGGTCGACGATGGGGCAACAATCGTTGGATCTTTCGGGTCTCTTGTCGCGATAGTGGCGACGAGGCAAGGCGTATCTGAAATGATGGAGACCGATGCGGGCCAGGATGTTGAAAGCCAAACCGTGAAGGTGGCGCCAGAGCGGGTGGCGGCAACAACAGAGGAGACGAAGAAAGGTGAGGGATCTCGCGAATACATTTCCGTAATAGAAATGAGATCGGAGAGTACGGCCGAGGATATGATCCAAGATAACGACCAGAAAGATGACCACGCTGCACCACGAGTGGAAGGTGATGACAAAGAGGACGCGCAACGAACGAGACTGTCAACGAGAGTAGTAATTAAGAAAACTGTGTTTGATGCGTAGGAAAGCCTTAGACGGGCATGGGCGTTTACACGCTTCAGGTTATATTCATGTGTCGCCACAAATCATGATGCGATATTCACCGGTCCTCACATGGGGTGTCTATGCATTTCTTGTTAAATTGATAGGTCGCCGCTGTGTACTATGCTAGAAAATTATGTTAGACAGGAATGGGTGTAAACGTGTTTCGGGTTATATTGTTGTCTTAATGGAAGTGTTATTATGACACTGCAATTCTCGAAACTATAGTGCCGATAATAGAGGGTGGCCCATCTCGATACGTATGTGTATGTGTGTGTGTGTGTGTGTGTGTGTGTGTGTGTGTGTGTGTGTGTGTGTGTGTGTGTGCATCTGTGTGAGTAGGCAGATGTCGACTCGTCAGCAGCGTTAGGTTGTGTGTGTAGATTAAATTATATGTGCGTGCTTGGTACGATTTTATAATAAAGGCATATGAAAACACACTATATGGGGCACTTTGCCTGTCATGTGTCAAGGACACCTCTAATTTCAGAGAACTTGTTATGCCATCTTCTAGGGCGCTGCGAATGGTCGTCTTAACCTGAATCCCCACGAACTTAAGAACATGAAACCATACTAACAAAATGAAAAGAAAAAAAAAACACGAAAATATGTGAAACAGCAAGGCTGGAATAGTGAACTTATATTCTAAATACTGCCCTCAGTACTGAACATGAACATCAGAGAACTGATGGAAGCAAGGTTACCGTTAACCACCATAGATCACGAAAAGTATCATTGATCTATTTGATTTAAAAAAGTACACGAAAATTTGGCAAGAATTGTAGTTGTGTTATGAGCCATATTACGAGGAAGATGGAGGTCGGGGTGTTCATGTCAACTCGCTATCATATCCTGTTGCCAGGATTTAGCAATTGAAATTTTTTCCGCCGTTTCGAGCATGCAAATATGGCAGGCCCCGATCACGATAGCTTACGCTGCGGCATAATGCATTGTCGTGTGCAGAAAGGAGGAACATAGAAGAAGTACGAAGTTGCAAACAGGGATGGACGATCCACTTAGCAACGGATAAGTTATCGGAGAAGGAGACGGTTGCGGTGCAACATTTACGAGATTCGGTGCAAGCGGAGAATCGGACAGTCTGGACATCCACGTACAACGGGCCAACAAAAGAAGAACTAACACTAACCGGGCATGATTTGAGCTTGATACTGTATCAAGGCAATTGGTTAAACAACGAAATAGTTAACTTTGATTTGAACCTCGTAAGGCTTGACAACATGTGTCGCATAAGCCATCGCGAGTGTGATAGTGGACAAGACGGAACAGTAGTAGAAGGAAAAGGGCGCATCCCGATAACAACAATTTTTAGTTCCTTCTTCTTCGCGAAATTGTTCGATGATGACATGCAATACCAATACAGCGCAGTGCAGAAGTGGATGACAGATATCGATGTGGGTGACGTGGACTTAATAATAGTTTCATTCCATATCTGAAATTCCAACCATTGGACACTAGTAATAGCTGACCTAAGGCACCWAAAAATGGAGTACTACGACTCGCTTACGCCTGACAAAGAATTGGCAAGGAAAGTGACAGGTGGTTTCGCAAGATTCTTGTTCGAAAGATCGGTTGATCAGGGAAAGGTGGTGGATACAAAAGATTTCAACCACATATGGAATGTGCCAGGCATTCCTAGACAGCGTGGCATTAACAAATGCGGTGTTCTTATGCTAACATATGCGTCACTGTTGGCAAGAGGATTTCTCCCGCCATTCAACTTTTCTTTCGACGACATCCACAATATAAGGGGACGGATCGCTTTAGATGTACTTGTCACACCGAAAGAGGAGTTACTTGTGCAACAAATGACATTTGATTGACGACATTATGAAAGCAAAACATTTGTTTATTTTTTTGCAAATGTAAAGAGATCATTGGCTCCGCTGGATAGACACGCATGAAAATGTCCGAATGTATTTAACAAAGCAACAACGCGACATGCCCGATTGAATACCATTCATGTGTTACTTCATATGACCTCGTACCCCTTACCCCTCCCCTTACCCCTTACCCATATTAACCCTTACCCCTTACCCCTTACCCCTTACCCCTTTACCCTCTATGCCCATAAAACACTGCATAAAATACATACACAGATCGGAAAAAAATGGACTTATTTCGGGCAAAAAATAAAAAATGAACGTTTTGACGAAATCGCAGTTTTTTTTTTTTTTTTCAATCTTTGTCTTTTTGCCTAGCCACAGTCTCCTCCGAGCACAATGCACCCTCATTTTGGCTGTGCCTGACCTGGAATATGGCTTTGGTACGTTTATTCTGAGGGTACGTGATGCTGAGGGAAGAAGGAAGGGAAGCCACACACACAGACGCACACACACACACACACACACACACACACACACACACATAAACACACACAGACACACACACACACACACACACACACACACACACACACACACACACACACACACACAGAGAGAGAGAGAGAGAGAGAGAGAGAG